TTTGTCTCTTATTATAAGGATCAAAGAGTAATTCATCTTTTTTTATTCTATCAGAGTAAACTCACACTAAAATCCTTAATAAAATTTGCTCTAGTTCTACTATAAAGCTCACTAGCTTTGTTTATTTTTTTTGGTGGTAGATTCTTGCTTATCTAACTCTAAATGAAAGTTGTTCTTACTGTGTATGTAATTCATTATGCATTTTTAGGATTCCAAACCCCAGGAAATACTCATTTGTTGCTTTACAATATATCATGTACTATGTTTGTTTTGTCATATGCCACTGTGAGAAGTATCCCACACTGTTGTTTATTTTACTTACTGAATATGTTCACCATGCTACTTGTCAGAGTATTTAACTGCTATGCAAAAGCAAAATAATGATAGTTATGATTTGTTTCTCTGTGTCATCTTAAACATTTCTAAACTGCATCTGAAAATGATGCAGAAAGCAGGGGGTGGGGGTTCTCTTCCCCTCCATTAGTTATGATGCTTACCCATTTATTTGCACTACCAGACTCCCCAAATATCTGCAATTCTTTCTTGTCAGGCCCTTAATAAAGCAATTGGCTCTACAGTTTGACAGCCTGCCTCCTTATCACCTCTCACCAGAATGCTGGAATCCAGACGGCCACAAGTCAGCTCTTCTATAGATGTCATTTGAACATGATTCTTCAGAAGCTTACATGATAGAGCGGGTCACCTATTCACTGCACTCTACTGCTATGTTTACCATAATCCTGAGCAAATAAAATTATTTAACATATAATCTGTTTCTCATTATCAAAACCCTTTAATGCATTTTTGTAGTGAATGAAAACCAAAATGCATGTGACAGTCATTCTTCTTTTTGAACTGTGATAATATAAATTACATATCACTCTCTTTGATTTAGAAGTGCTGATTTTCACCTCCTAGCTGTTTCAAAAACAGTTTTTCACACAAGATCCATTTTGTTTCTCTCAATCAATAATTTTAGCTCGAAGGAAAAACTGAGTTAATCCCATATGCTTCATTATTGCTGTAACAAAAAGACTGCAGTTTTGCAATTGGGAAAGAACACCAAATGAAGATTCTACCCCGTGAGGCCAAAGATGTCTGTAAGACTTTGTTCGTTTATTTAGACTCCCAAGTCCCAACCTAGTTTGTTCAATGTATTTCAGCTGAAGTCTGAAAAATACTTGGAAACAAATAGTGGCTTCTTTTAATTTACAGCAGATACAATGCTCATATAGCGGTCTGCATTCTTTTATGAGCCTGACTTAAATTTTGATTTCTGAAAGCAATGTCAAATAGCGTTCACTGCAGTGGCAGCTGTGTATTGTAAATTATGTTATGATTGCCAGTCTGGATTGGTACATTATCACAGATTCTGTTTATCTACATGTCATAGAAGCCTTGGCACAAGACCTGACACTGTCCAGCAGAGTGCAGTTCACTAATGCCCCTTTCCATATGCACAATATATAAAGTCCAAATGCACAATATATGTTTTTAAGAGGTCAAATTTAGCAATACTTCACTAAAGCGTTTTTTGCTTATGACATTTCAGACCCAAAGTTTTAGGTCAAAGTTTATTATTTTTTCTATCTGTAAACAACTTTGTTCAAAAATATTTATATCCATCTCAAATTTGGGTGTAAAAAGAACAATATCTTTCTTTACTCTTATTACTCCATCCTGACTGTGTCCATGACCAAAATCAAATCAAATAGAAAATAATCCTAAAGGAGCCGGTGAAGGTTCTCAGTATTAAAGGTCATACTCATTCAGAAAATAAATTAATAAATAATCCACTGGACTTTGTTTCCAAGTTTGAAGATATTTCCCTTCCCATCAGGAATCTTTTTCAATTCAAAATGTCGGAAATAGTGTTGAGTTCGATTTTTTAAACAGTAGCCCATCAAAACCTTGTTTTTGTTTTTAAAAACATGCAAATTGAAATGGGTCCAAGCCTTTGGAAATGGGGTTGTTTAGCTTCTTTTGTTAGCCTGCAATGCCCCATACCTGTCTAAGTCTCTAAAAAGGATCTCGTTAAAGGGAGTGGATCTTCTGCTCTCCTGTACAGGGGTAAAGTTGATCCCTTCCCGCTATCATCATAATAAATTCCCAAACCATTTAAAGAGGTATTTTCTGCAGCACCGTTTGTACTGATTGCATCTCTATGTGTGGGAGTTTGTTGACAGTACACATAGAAACACAATGAAGAGAAATGTAAAGGATATTGTCAAGGAGAAGGAATGCTGGCTTCATACATGTGCGATAGAACACATTGCTTACTAATAATATCCTCTCCAGAGTGTAAACATTTTCCATAGAGGTTTTCCACTTCTTAGTATATAAACCATCTATACCATTGCATAACGCTCTTATGTTGGATCATGATTACACTTCATTCCAAATGTATAGTATTTTTATATACTTTGTCATGGTGGAACTTACCTTTCAGTCCAATTAGACTGTTTTTCTAAATAGATAAAACGCCATTTAATTTTTTTTTTTTATTGAATTCTTTTTTTCAAACTTAGCATAGCCCAAAATTTCTTCTGCTATGACAGTAGATAGGAAGAAGTTGTTTGTAAATGTACAAATCTTTCATTAAGCAATTATTAAAAGGAAAAAAAACAACTGATGGGATGCACTTTGAATGGTTGATTACATTTACCTCTTCTATGTAAAATTTTGTGCAGAAAGTGCTTTTGTCATACAACACAAATATAGATTCTCTAAATGTGGTTACTGTATGGCTTCACAGACTGAACAGCCCTGATATAATATGGTGGAGTAATGAGACATACCAAAGAAATATAGCAACTCCTCTGTATCCCCAAGGCCATTCTCCAGGAAATCTATTGTCCTATGACAGAGGATATATGGAGCTACATTAAATCAGTACCTGGTGATCGTCTGTTCTTACAAAGTGCTGGGTGGAGAAAATACCATAATGCTTACCCTGGCTTGTTTAGAAAATAAAAACAAAGAGAAACATTGCCATAAATGGGAACTAGGAGAGTTCTGTCCTAGCTAAGAGCGAACCATTAATTGGACAAAACTTATCATGTGAGGTACAAATATTTTTCAACCATTTAAAAAAAAACATCAAACTTAAATTAAAATCAAGGTTCAAAGTACTTGTTCTCAACCATTTCTTTGTGCACTGGTGCTAGGACATGTTGGAAAAGAAGGTTGACATCCCCAAACTGTTTCCACAAGTTATCTTTGTATGCTGAAAACATTGTATGCTGACTCAATATAATCAGAGACTATTTCTTTTGTCCATATCTTTAAAAGTAAACTTGATAAATATTATGATATCATTATCCAGACACAAGATACAAAAGTAAACTTTAGATTAGTTAGATCATTTCCAATACATTTATTCAAAACTGCACCTAAAGCAACAAAGGTTAAAATGGAAAAATTGGCGATAACATAAACCGTCAAAGAAACACAATGATACTATCTAAAACAGAACCTTTAGATGGAAACATGAAAAATGAAAAGAGCTAATTATCTTCCGGATTAAGAAAGAACATACATCAATGTTGCAGGAATCCCCCAGACTTTTCAGTTTGTAAATCCTCAGGGCTAAGGCGCTGTTTAGTTTGATGGGGTGCTTTAAAACTCTTAAGAGCTAATTTGAAATTGTTCTCTAAAGGTTAATTAAGGTATCATGTTGGCAGCTTGATACCCTGAAGTAATTTATCATTTTTTTTGTGGGGTGGTTTGGCTTTTGCAAAGGAATCACAAAAGGCAACACAGATTGTCAGGGTTTTTGTAGTGTTTCATCTTGCATTATTAAATAAGTGTTTTTGAAGGCAAAGTTAGATTTTGATTTAATGGGTCCCCTAGAGTGCAGCAACTGAGCGAGTGTTCAAAAGGAAATAATTTGAGTTCAACAACTACCAGAGCAATATGTTTAATTAGAGATTTATACTCATTAAAGCTTCCAAGAGGTGGCTCGAAAGACGAGGAAAATAAGGTTTGGCTAAGAATAGCAAATGTTTATTCTGTCAATTAAATTTACATTTATAAAAAAATGCTCAACCACAAAGATAAATGTTAATTATTATTCCTAAAGCAAAGATTCTAATGGCTAATGTATGAGAAAGGGACTTCACAATGAACTTTGTTATTGACACCATTTACTGAAGCTGAAACTAAGCCTACAAAAATCTATTTTGTTTACTCATTAATAAGTTTAATGCAGTATGATGTGTTTAAAACTCTGACCAGTGACAGTTCATTATTCTCCACCAAATTTCTACTTCCTTATCACACCCTAGTCTATTATCCATAGATTGTGTTCCTGTGTCTATTTTATAAAGAGCCTTGAAACTTCTTACATTTTGATCCGAGCAAATTGTAAGGGCAACAGCACACTGTATTCCCCAACAGTGCTATAAACTCAATACAATTGCAGAGCTGTACTCAAAGCTGCCATATTGTTCAGGCACCACAAATGTTTTAAGTTCACTCAACTGGTTACCCAGTTATTGATTATTTTGACAAGATTAACTCTTAGTATATGAGTAGAACTGACCCCCAAACTCATTCCTTTCAAGAGTGGATTGAATTTATGTCAGACGTAATAATGACGTGCCAGTTCATTGGATAGGTTCATATCAACATGGCAATTAACCTAACAAACCAATATAAGAAAATACTAAAATCGGATATCCCAAATGAATGTTGGATGAACTATATGGAACCCTGAATGATTCATAATTAAATAAATAAATAAAAAATTATTAAATAAATACAATTTTGACAAATAACAAACAAATATATAATATGGTCATGAAATAAAAACAAGGTAATGTTATTATGAAATATATATTTTTATTCTTTAATATATTTGTGTGTTATTTATCAAAATGGTATTTATTTAATAAAGTTTGTAATTTATTTAATTATGAATCATTCGGGGTTCCATAGAACTAGTCTATGATCGATTGTGGTGAATGTAATCTGTTACAATTTGACATCGTTAGACTAGTTGTTTGCAAGGACTGCTGTGCACCCGGATGTAGGCAGGCAACAACATTGAGGAGATCATCAACAACACCAGCCTGCAAACCGTAGCTTCTGACTCTGCACAAAAGGTAAGAACGCGCTTGTAGGCTACTTTGTTTATTTATTTGTTTATCGTCTTCCAGCGGGCAGACCTCAGCTAAAGCGTAAGCTATGTGACAGAGACCTCCTGCGGGATATGTTTTTGCGAGTTAACTAAAGTTCGTTGTCTCAGCTGTGAGCCAGCTAGCCTTTTGCGCTACTTTAGTGGAACACAGGACAGAAAAACCGTATGGTTTTAACACTACCAAATATCTTTTATCATCCGTTTCTGGTGTTAAGCCTACTACTTTGGCCGCTGAACGTAGCATTATAGCCAGCCAGACGCCGAAGCAATGTTTCATAACTTGAGCCTATGATAGGAAGCCAAGTTGTATCCAAACTTGCCGACAATAGCCTAGCTTAGCATGATCACTGTCAATGGCTCTGTTCGAAAACCTAGGACGTGTCCTCCAAGGACGCGGTCTACCTAGACTGGATCCTTCGAAGTCCTTGAAAATAAGGAGACCGGAAGAGTTTAGGCTGTGAATTCGACCAGGTCTACCCTTAGGCGGGTTTTACCGCCGTATGATCTGTTGCTTAGCAACCGTAAACGTTGACACACAAAGCAGGAAAAGAATGAATACAGAAGTTTTCAAAACTGTTTATTTATTTCTTTTTTATTGTGAAGTGAACAAAGACTACACTCACAAGAATCCAGAATGGAATAAATGTTCCAACCACCGGGAGCAGGAACAAATAAAATCAAATGTAATGATAGAAACCTTAGTTAGTTTAATACCATGCTGCTGTCATTCTGTACATCTCTGATGTTGCTGCTATTTTCGAATATCCATTACTGTAAAAATGTCCATAGCTGCATATTGGTTATTTATTCCCCAGTTTTATATTGTTAAAACACTTTACAGTATTGTATTGTTTATATTTTAACTCTTCCCTATCATGTTATTCTTATACATTTTTCTAAGGTCCACATTTGTGTGACCATTTTCAATAATCCTCTGCTGCTGTAAATTTGCCCATTGTGGAACAATAAAGGGATTTTCTATTCTATAAAAGGGCTAGAAAGATATAAGTAAATCTAAACAATGTATGTATAAAAAATATATCTGCAAAATCTCTAATATTCAACAACAAAAAATACGTAGTTAAGCATATTGTGCAAAACAGCAATAAAAAGATAAAAATCCTATCAGATTTATAGTCCCCACCCTGCAGATATATTAGAATCTGTCCTTAAATTATAGCCAAACCCATTTACACAGTAACAGATTAAAACCTTTAGATAAATCAAACATTACCGCCACATATCTGACTCAATAACCATTAAAACAACTATTTTCATTCATTTCAGACGGAACTATTCACAGAGTTGTATTATATTAAACTGAACTTCCAATTTTCACCACTGTTCGGCGCCAAGTAACCTTTACTCTGATCACGGCTTGCTTGGTCTCGCAATGAATCCTGGGATATCCAAGAATACCGAGGATACATCAGACCCGTCCTTCAAATCGGGCAAAAAGAAGGACGCATTTTAAGGCCGCATAACGAGGACTCTTGGAATCCGACCAGACCTCGACGCCGCGCTATGACGTAATCGGCCTTCGAATCCGGTTTTCTAAGGATGCGTCCTAGGTTTTGGAATGTCTGAGAGCCAATGTCTGATTCTGATAGGCAGTGTTGGGCTAGCTACTTGTCCAGTGTAGTGAGCTAAGCTATCAGTTACTCAACAATAAATTAAGCTCCACTACACCAAAGCTACCACCTAAAGAATTCTAGCAAGCTAAGTTACACTAATGTGTTAAAAGTAGCTTAACTACATCAGAAGCTACTTAACGTTGTACCAACCTAATATCAATTCAAAATGAGTCTGATACACTGGTTAAAATATTTATTAAAGATCAGCCAATGACATAACACAGTGTAAAAATTGTTTTATAATCAGCATAATAAAAAAAAAACTAAAGTATTTACTAGTAGACAAAAAAATAAACAATCTGCTGTTATTAGAACCAAATTAAAGGTACTGTGTAGTGTTCTACACATCGAGACATGGCTATGAGGTTACATTCAATGGACATCTCTAGGGAAAACAAAACCCTACAAAAGGCATCTTATTTCTTTAGGGTCTCCCTTAGAGAAAACTTCTTCAGACCTCAATTAAACAGTCGATTCAAGTAACAAATGAAACTGTTTACAAAAAGGTGAAAAAATAAAGAAGCTAATTAAGAGATATATATACATTTATGTCTCACTGTATAATTTAATTTTTACCTACATATTTATTCATTGTATTTTGGGGGTAATTAATTGAATGCTTATTTATTTATTGAGCATGTATTTATTTATGTATTTATTTTTATATATGGGAGAGCTGTTCCTCCATACCTAAAAAATCTTATCTGTGCAAATAAGCCTTAAAACAGATTTATGTAAACATCCTGTCTGGTAAACTAGGCCATAAAAATACAATATCTAAGTTTGGCTACTGCTCTCTAATGAGAATATCTTAGTGGCACTCATCAGACGTAAGAAACTACTAATTTGATTATTTGCTTTGATGTCGCAAAACATCATACTTTCATAAAATCATGCAACATACTCTACCCTATCTGTGGACATTGTTATTTGCAAAGTAGGTGCTGGATAAACAAATAAAAGTGGTTTAATGTTGCTTTAAAGAAACAGACTTATCCTCACTAAAGATACCTGTAGCAGTTTCCGTTATCAAAATCGGACATGCTCTACAGCCAATAATATTTAGCAGTGTAGCCACCCCTCAGGAAGTGGTCTAACACACACACCCAGTTGTGAGGAAGTGCAACGATTTTAGCATAATTTGACCTATGGGTAGTGATGCCATGCTGCAGCAATATATAACTTAATGTCATTGTGTCCAATTTTCTTTTTGCATTTTCAGATTTGTGCAGAATTCCATCGAATAACAAATATAAATTTAAAGAGTACATTTTATTCTGCATTTGATAAGTACATGCCATGGCTAATGACGATGTACCGTGAGAAAGCGGCCCGCACTGGCAAAACTTCTGAATTGCTAAGAAACATCTTCCCATTACCCACAATCCCTCTGTCTTCTAGGAAGATGTTGATGTTAACAGCAGACGCACAATTGCTCTGCAGGCACTTCCCATCTTCCTGCGTGAAGATGCTGCTGGATTTTTTAAGACCTGGAATGTAAGTTTATGATTCAACTGTGTGTACTCTTTTACTCTTTCTTTTTCTTAGTTTTTGTTCTCTGTAAATATATTTTTTTCTATTTAACCCTCTGTTACTGCCAAAAGACAACAACCACAACCCTCTTCCTAGCCACCGGAAAAGCTATTAAATCATACTGTACTACAGTAATTCTCCAAGAATGTCATATTTGGGAATTTTACCTGAACTTTTCATTCACTGGTATTTCATAATAAATACACATGTAGTGTTTTTCATTGACTGCTCTACTCATTAACTAATTACTGTCATGTTCTTTAGGCAGAAGACATTGACCTGCCACACCTCTCGGATACAACTGTAGCTGTTCTGGAATGATAAAGTCTCCCTTGTGAAGTTTGGTTCTGCAATACATTCAATAGTTCTTGAGGGAGAGATTGTGGTATGTGATATAGCACAGTTAACAGAGACATTAATTTTGCTTTTTGGCTTGATTTATGCACTACATCTACAGTATCCAAAGAAATAGACATATACATTACATTTTATTCAGAAAGTTGTAATGGGTTTGGATGACCTGAAGCTGTTACCTCCGAGACTGCGTAGCCTTAAAATCGATCTGATGATGGATGAGTAAGCAGTCTGCTTAAAATATGTCGTTGTTACTACCAGCATGGTGATACTCAAGCAACCATTTTGTCTTTGTTTTTTGTTTTCGCTTTTTTTATTTATGTTGGCCTTTTATTGTTGGCCTATTATTTTTGGATCGGCCTATTATGTTGGCCAATTTTTTGTTTTTTGTGGATACAGAGAAGCCGATGTTTCAGAAGGCAGCTTTAAACAGACCTGCAGATTTATAATTGTTTTTGACTTGATCATTTCAGTGTTTGGCTTGAGGTCCCAGAGTTTCGTACGGAAACGCTTTGGTCTGCCTTGAAGTTACTGGGAACTAAAAGATCTTTTACGGTTTTATTTGCTGAATAAATAAAACCGTATTTATTTAGCATTTTTATTGAAAATGTGGTTGTTATTTATTTTATTTTCTGTATTAACCCCATTGCTGGGGACATTGTTCTGAATTCTAATGGAATTCATAAATAAATGGAATCTGCAGTAAAATTGTCTTTTTAATATTTTTTTGTTTGAATCATACAAATAAAATATATTTGATTTTGAGAAAAATTGCTAACATATACAAGCAATAAAATGTGTTTAAATACAGTTAAGTCAACTTAAAAATATAAAAGGCTGAATTGACAATGTTTAGGTCTGAGAAACTGAATGAGTCATGGTGATAACATGAATATATTATTAGGGGTGATAACTTAAAAAAATCAACTCCGTTTCCGGTGTCAATTTTGTTAGTTTTAACATTAGTTTCAAAATGATCAGGTTCATTAAACTTATCAAAAATTTAAGTAGTGATTACTTAAAATGTTCGTTTGTGAAATTATTATGTTTCAGTTCATCAACTTCCTCAAAATAAATGAGTGTGAATAACTTTTCTAGTTTAGAGTAGTAATTACTTAAAATGTTTGTTTGTTGAAATTATTTGTTTTAATGTTGTTCATTTGTCCAAAGATTTTAAGTGTAAAGAGCTTGTCTAACTAATGTAGTAATTACTTAAAACATCTTTTTCTCACATTATTCTTTTTAATTTTATCCTTGTCCTCAAAGATTTTGAGCACTAACAAAAGTCTAATTTTAAGTAGAAATTACTTAAAATATTCTTTAACATAGCTAAATAGTTTGAGGTAATCAGTTTCATCAAATATTTTGAGTTCATTGAACCTGTTGGGGTTTACAGTGCAGGCTAGAATAACCCAATTAAAGTCCTAGCCCAAATTAAACTGAGCAGTGGAAAGACTGGTAAATCAATGTTTACAGATGGTCTTTATTTGATCTGAATGATCTTATGCTGCTAAAATAAAAAGGCTGAATATTCAGCATCCAGTGTTTAAAGCTGGTAGAAACATACCTCGGCAATTGCTCAACTTAAGAGAAGTATTGGTAAGACTTACCACCATGAGCAACAGGAGAACAGAAGAGGAGGCTTTCAGGCTATATTTTGGGACTTACTTTCTGACAAGTACTACAACAGAATATGTTTTGATCTAGGAGGTTATGAAGAGTATGAACTGTGTGAGGATAAGCCAACTTACAATTAGCTTATCCTAACATTAAAGAAGCGTTACAGACTTTTCCAATGATACTGCCACCTGTAGTCAAAAGACAGAACTGCATTACTTGTTATCATAGCTCATGCTTGTACTTAACGTTTTTTTTTTTTTCACCTTACCTGGAGTTGCCATTGGTGTCTGAGTTAAGCTGGATGCCAAGGAAATCCACAAAATCCATCTTGCATATAACCCTTTGATTGTTTCCTTGGTAAGACCAATTTAACATGGACTCACTTGATATCACATTTGCAATACAATGCAGGAACATCATCCCAAAAGATATGAAGGAAATTAGGCTAATAGATGCATCGATGCTTAATTAAAAAGGTGTCAGTCTGTTCATTATACGATGTTTTAGTTGTAAAGGATAAGATAAGTCTATTTTAAAGATATTTTTCAGTAAACAAAAAAAACAATGTCTCCTTTTGTGTGTGTGTGTATGTCTATTTTGCCAATATGGCTCTGGGAATAGATGTCACAGAGCTACATGATAGCCCAACAGCTTTTCTTTCATAAAGCCCACCATTATTAGTTTTTTAAAAGCTGACAAACAAGCCTAATCAGAATCATGTTATTGTTAAGTTGCATTTAAACTGTAGTCTGAAAAACTCACAGCAATCAGCATTTAATGCTCATTTAATTACTATGTGGAAAGTCCCAGCATGGCCCCTTAGTTTATTTCTTTCTTTTATTTGGACAGAGAGAGTTAAGGTCGGGTAATACTTGACACACGCACAATCCGCACGTAAAATAAGCCATCCGTACGAACTTTTGCAGCTTTTATACTCTGTGCAGCTCATCTCGCATTTTTTAGAGGTTGTTAAATGGACAAAAAAAAACTTGCAAGGTCCCACTAGAAGAGGAAGTAGAAAGCACAGCCATTTACAACTTTCTCAAAGCCTCTTCGTTCTATCAAAGAGTGACACTCATTTCCATTTATCTTTGCATTTTTTAGTTTTTCCACGACCCATTGTATAGTGGTGGTATTTATGAGCTTTATCACAGGATGCCCCTAAATATTTCCATGTAGGAACCCTTGTCAGTAGCGCATTTTGCTCACTTACCATGTTTTTCACACCAATCTGTCTAAATAGTTACAGTACAAATATTCCCATGCACACAGTACAGAAATTCTGTCTGCATAGACAGCGAGCCGAGGGGCATGGAAGCCAGATTTTGACTATGCAGACCTTGCAGACATGCCAAGCATAAACCAAGCTTTATTATTGTTTATTTAAGCTTTTTAAATGAGTAGGTTTTTTTTCTTTTTCCTCACCAAAAGTAGTGTACAAACAGCTGTTGACATCCTATGATTTTGTCATCCAATAAATTTTGTTTAAATTGTAGTGCTATTTGCATGTATCCACCCACATGGTTCTAGGATTCATCCTGTGATATAAGCTTGGAGTAGCTCTGTCACAGGTTTCTGATTTAAGTTGGGATTCTGGTTGGTTAGCTCCAAAATCTTCTTACTTCTTAAAGACAGAATATACTTGTTGTTAATATGCAATTATAAGTTTTAACCCACAATTGTCCCCAATATGAATAACATGGGCTTAACTGTGGCCACAGAGTGATTCATCTTCATCCTTATTTACGATATAATGCCACCAACTAAGTTTATTGAGAACCCTTGTGACATCTGTTTTGTGCACTCTGAGTGAAAACACAGAGGCACTGCAGTGTTTTTCTCACGCTACGTGCACTCGTGTGTCCATTGTGAACTGGTGAAGTCAACACTGACCCTTACAAAAATACTGTTAAACACAACACACCACCATGTCCCCATGGTAGTGTGGGCTGTACTTGATGCCTCTCTGAGGACCCAACTTCATTTGTGTATTTGTGTTTCTGGACCAGTCTGCTGTTTACAGAATGACATATTATATTTATCATAAATGTGGATCTTAATTAATTACTCACCAGTGTGATGATTTAACGAATGTGTGCATAATTGGAATTCATGACATTTTTAATAGTTTTGACCAAATTACAAGCGAAAATGTGTTGCCTGGGGCTTTTTATGTGAACCCAGTGTTATCAATCTTAAGCATTCCAGGACTTGTCATTGTTCCCTTAATTACTTCACATCAAAATCCACTGCAACCAACAAACATTGTGTGCCGGTCAATTTTTTGAGTTTTAGTTGTTGTAAAGGTCAGAATCAGAGAGTACAATGTCTGTGTCATAAACATTTAATCATATGAGGATAAATAAAGTGACCATTAAAGCCAAATACTAACTGCTATTTGCCCAAGACATGCTGACAGTAATATGTATTTTTATTAAAGTGCAATGATCCTTAAAAAGCCAAATTGAAAACACATACATTTTAAAAGTAGGAACACCAATTATATCCCTAATACACGCTTTACTTACACATTGTAAATTAGGGAAACTCTCTGGATATAAAAAAATGGTGTATTACTACACTTGCAAAATTAAAAGTCGAAAGGTAGATTATACTAGAAGCAGCTTAGTTAGTTAAAATAAAATAATAATGATTAAAAAAAAATAAATAAAAACTCTCTCTAATGGTATGCCGGAGGTGGAAAGAGAGGTAAGATTAGAAAAGATAACCATGGAAGACACAAACACACAAAAGGTGTTAGCGGAAAAAAAAATAGATGTTTGAAGAGTCTGCACAGATTTAAGAGCTTAACCAATTTTAATATCACATTCTTATGGTCCAATTATATCCTTGGATCTTATCTACGTAAAGGCCAGATGGACTGAGGACCTGTCCAGGGTGTAACCTGCCTCTCGCCCATAGAGAGCTGAAGATAGGCATCAGCACTAAAAGGATTACTAAAATGGAATGGGCTCAATTGTTTTTTACAGGTCTAGTGAGACTTTTCTGTATGCATACTTCTGTCTATTTTATATATTGAATAATATGGTCTAGTTGTATCTCTTGCTTGTTGCATTTCTTTTTGCCCTTTAAAACACAGATTAAAAAAAGAAAATAGTTTTTTCAAAACTCTAACTCAAGGAACATCTCAAGAATTACCTTTAACAATTAAACCAATCTAGTTCTCTAACAACTACAGTGGCTATCGGTTTAATTTCCTATTTAAGACAAAACCCTAGTTTTCATCTTTGATGCCATTAAATATGACCGCTCAGCACCTTTCTTTGCACTAATACATTAGTATCCTCTGCTTGTAATTTACGGTTTTGATCTTGCATCA